CTTAAACTGGAACTGGTGAAAATGCTGAGACCAGTGGGCTTGTTTGGGATTGAGTTTCCTGGACGTTTTCAGGGCTTCTAAATTTTTGTGATCGGTCCACACCTGGAAGGGGATTTTGTTGCCTTCCAGGAACTGTCGCCACGTGAGTAATGCCCAACGTATCCCATAAGCCTCCTTCTCCCATACGGGCCAGCGCTGTTCTGTTTCCGTGAGTTTCTTGGATGTATATGCACAGGGTTGCAATACTGCATCATCATTTTCTTGTAATAGCACAGCCCCCACTGCCACATCACTTGCATCTGCCTGTATTATGAAGGGCTTGTCCATATCTGGGTGCCTTAGTACTGGTTCGGCAGAAAAAAGTCTCTTTAGTCTCTCAAACACTGCTTGGCACTCCATTGTCCATGTTAGTGGCTGGCTAGGTTTTACTGAGGATGTTCCCTTCGTTTTTAGTAAGTTAGTGAGGGGCAAGGCTATCTGGGCAAATGAGGGGATGAATTGGCGGTAAAAGTTTGCAAAGCCCAGGAAACTTTGTAGTTGCTTTCTTGTGTGGGGTGGTGCCCAATTCTAATACTGCTTTGACTTTCTCTGGGTCCATTTCAATGCCCTGGGGGGATATGCGATAACCTAGGTAGTCTATCCTTTCCTGGTGGAATTCGCATTTTGAGAGTTTGGCATATAGGTGGGCGGCTCGCAGCTTCTTTAAAACCGCTCTGACAAGGTTGACGTGTTCCTCTTTTGTTTCAGTAAAGATAAGAATGTCGTCCAAGTAAACAAGGACCCCCTTAAACAGGTGCTCCCTTAGAACGTCATTGATTAATTGCATAAAGACTGCAGGGCCCCCTTGTAATCCAAATGGCAAGACTTGGAATTGATAGCACCCCATGGGGCAGTTAAATGCAGTCTTCCATTCGTCCCCTTCCTTAATTCTCACGCGATAGTAAGCTTCCCTTAGGTCTAGTTTAGAAAAAATTTTCCCTTTCGATAGGTGTGACAGCATGTCTTTCATGAGGGGCAGCGGGTATAGGTTGCTTTCACTGATTGTATTCAGGGCCCTATAATCCACGCATAAGCGTAAAGAGCCATCCTTCTTCTCTCTAAAAAGGACCGGGGCAGCCACTTTAGGCTTGGCTGGCTCAATGAAACCTCTCTCTAGGTTTTTTTTTTATAAATCTTTCCATTTCCTCCTTCTCCTTTGGGCTCATGGAGTATAATCTGGGCTTCGGGAGTTTTGCCCCAGGCTTGAATTCAATGGTACAGTCTGTGGGTCGGTGGGGGGGGAGCTCATTCGCCCTTTCCTCACTGAAGACTTCAGCAAGGTCTCTATATTCCTCTGGTATTTCTGTTAATCCTTTTTCCTCTCCTATGGATGCTTTTTCTATTCTTGATTCTGGTAGCCTCCCTTGGGGTTTTAAGTCCATAGGGTCCCCCTTTGGGAATTTGATTTCTGTCGTCCTCCAATTTACCCAGGGGTTCCATTTTTTCAACCATTCCATCCCTAGAATCATTGGGCATTCCATACCTGGGGTCACCACAAACGTTATGTCCTCTTCATGTTGCCCAGGGAGAGGTGTATTGGTAGAGTGGCTAGGGTAGCTGGCACCCCCCCTGCTATGGATCCATCTAACTGGCCAAATGAGATTGGTTGTTCCAGTCTCCTCGATGGGATGCCCAGATTCCCCACTAGTGTTGGGCTAATGAGGCAGCGGGTGCAGCCAGAGTCTATTAAGGCTTTCACCTTCACAGCTTCGGGCATGGGGGGGATTAATATAGTCACTGTTTTGAAGATGGGTGTGATGCATCCACTTACCAGGGGTTCGCCCTCCGAGCTGTCATCTGAGGCATCCACCGGCCCTGTGGTGTAGGCTGGAGTTCTTTCCCCTTGGTGAGCAGAGTGGGGGGTTCTGCAATTTCCATCATTCTCATGGCAGTTTCTTTTGGCTTAGCTGAAGACTTTCCAGATTTGTTGATTGGGGATCTGTCTGGGTTGTGCTGGGGGGCCTTTGAGTGGCATTCTACAGCTCAATGCCCTTCTCTTCCGCACTTGAAACACCCCATTTGCTTCTTGGCTGTAGCCGATGATTTCACCGGTTTGTGCGTCAGCTCAGGCGGGGGGCGGCTCCATTGTTTTCCTCGGCGGTGCCTCTTCAATATGTTGATCTCTGCTTCCTCTGCCAAGACGTACCATTCCTCAAGTCGATGTGGGTCCCCTCGGGGCAGGCAAGCATCATATAGATCATAGTTTAGTCCGTCTTTGAAATGGCTAAGGAGGATGTCTTCTGGCCAATTCAGTTTGCTGGCAATGGCCCGGATTTCTTGTGTATATTCAGCCACCGGGCGTTTGCCTTGCCTCATCGTTTTTATCCTTTCACGGGCTTTGCGATCAGCCAGGGGGGTCTTCAAATCGTCTTCTCAAAGAGGACATGAAACGGTTGAAGTTACTGAGTTCTGGGGCATTGGAGTCATGCAAGTTCACCACCCAATCTGCAGCCGGTCCATCCAGGGCAGATTGCACGATCCGGATGCGGGCTTTGTCGCTGGGAATGTCCTGCCCGTATTCCTCCATGTAGCTGAGGATTTGGGTTAGGAAAAACCCCAAGCGTGTTGGCTCCCCTTTGAATTTCACCTCCAACGGTGGACGTCTTGGAATGGATCGGTGCCTCCGTTGTTGGTGGTAGTGTCTTCCGTCCAGATTGCCATCTGTGGTCCGGTAGGGGGTGGGGGCTACTGGATCAGTAGATGTCCCTGGGGTTGCAGGTTCCACGTCCCCCTCGGAGTCTCTCCCTTTGCGGCTCCAGGAGCTGGGGCGGCCGTAGGGCTCAGGATTCTCCTCTCCTAGGGAGCTGAGAGTTCTCTTCATCAGGTCAATAGCTTTCTCTAGGATCCAGTCTGAGTACGGTGCCCAGCTTCCTCCCTCTTCACTTGCGTGCATGGATTTCTCCATCTCCTGCTTCCATTCTGGTTGCTTGGTCCCCCGTCTCAGGGTCACCTTTCTTGATTCCTTTCCCCACTCACTTTTCTTTCCAACACCCATTGACCAGCGAGGCTTGTGGTCCCGTGTCTCCACCACTTCTTCCCCTGAGGAATCTGACCTCTCGGCTCCCAACATCTGGCAAGGTTTCAACTGGGTCAGCGGCTCTCTTTCCAGGGAGTTTTCCCCCTTTCTTGCTCCATTGTCTGACATGGTAAATTTTTTGCAAAATCCCCCGGCAAGGGTCTCCCTTCCAAGTGGATTAATTTTGCAAGTCCTGTCTAATGTAAGGACCCACCCCACTTTGCATCTTAAGAAGACAGAACTCTTGGAATAATTCTTCCAACAGGAATCCTTTATTAAGAAGAAGTGGTTGCAGGTGTGCTAGAAAGGACTTGGGGTCCAAGCCCTCCCATTCAAGGTTTTAAGGGGTTCCCCAGTAGTCCCACCCAATCAACCTCCCTTCCAGTGATAGTTTCAGGCATCACAATTCCACCCCCTTTTTTCTTTCTTCCGTCTGGAGGGAGACTTCAGATAAACTACATGAAAGGCAAATAACCTTCTTTGTTATGGTAAGGTTCTTTGGTGCTAACGCTTTGAGGTTACAATAAACACACATTCAGCATTTAGCTCCTTAGAAGTATACTGAAGGAAGTGAGGGCCATGAAGCCCCTTTGTTCTCCCCCTTCTCTCCCTCTTATGGCAGAATCCAGAGAAGGCAGAATTAGGAGTTTCTATATTTGATAATTAACGGTGAAATATAATTGGATTCTTACAGCATGGTTACTGCATATCCACATTCTTGTTATTCTTATCAAGCAATTGTCAAAAGACACCTTTCATTTAGATTTTGGTGAGCTTTCTGAAATAAAGATTTAAAAAGTATTTTTTTTTACTTACTGCAGTATTGCAAATAAATGATGTCTTTTTGATGAGTTTAGCATCATGCAATCTCAGTTCATTTCAAGAAATCATTTGTCCAGTGTAGGAAGGGTGCAATCTTATGAAAAATATCTTAAATAAATCTGACTATGTTTATTGGCAGGCTCTGCATTATATAAATAAGTAAATATATCAGAGCGTAAAGTGTTTAAAAAATAGTTTAAAATTACAAGAATGACGCAGAATCAAAGTACTTTTTCTCAGTTATTGAGCTAAAACTAGAGTCACAAAGCAGATAAAAATGAAATAAAATGAAAAAAATTAATGAGATAAAATAGAATTAAAAGTAAAATAAGGTCATAAAGGTAAATAAAAATATAATCTAATCAAAATGTTACTGGCAAGGTCCTGAAACATTAAAAATACTGCCAGCTCTTAAACAGCATTTAGTGGTACTATAAGAAATTATAATATTCTGATCCATTATGATATTAAGTAAAGTAAAAACAATCAACACAAGTTGAAACATAAACTAAGAAAAGTGTACTAAGTTTCTATCATAGTTCATAGTATGATTGACAATAAAGATGTACATGAGCTTTTGTTTCAGTAGCTCCTGATTTGCAGTAACTAAGGTGTTCATTTTATGGGATTTTCTGGCATCTTCTTTCAAAATTTCAACTTGCAACTCATTGCAACATGCCAGGGTTAAAACTAAAAATATTAATAAAGCAATTTGATTGAAATATCAATCAGGGTTATGTCTGCTGATATGAGTACCTAAATAGACATCACCAGAGGTTATGCTGTCCTCAATTTGTTTTTCCATATTAAAATTACAAATAAAGGTATTGATAAAATAAATATGGATAAATAGTATGGGAAAAACTGATCGTTGGAAAGAATCGGAATTCATAATCTGAACTTTAGGTGTTTTAAAGGATATAGCAATAAAAATATGTTCTTAGGCTCTCTTATCTGCACAATTCTTGGGATTATGTTATGAAAAGTTGGTTTTTAATTTAATAAAATAATCTAACAATATTAGTGTCATGCACAAACTAATCAAGATCACCAAAAATAGATGGTATAATAGAATTTTGCCTGACTTAAAAGTTAGTGATACATAAGTGATTTTGCTTTACAGGACAAATTTTGGATACTCTTGATAAGGAAAACTTGAAAAACAGTACTCTGACATATTTTACTTCTGACCATGGTGGACACTTAGAGGCTTGGGAAGAAAATATTCAACAAGGTGGTTGGAATGGCATATACAAAGGTGAGAGTAACCCTCTTATGTTTCCTTAAAATTTTGTTTTGCATTTTAAAAGCCATGATATGCTACTTTAAACATAGTTTAAGATATGGAACATTGAAATTTGGTTTAAGCAAAATCTAGTAGACCAATGAAGCGTGCATGTGCAATCAGAAGATGCAAAATAGGAGTTTAATTCCTGCAAATAATCAACTTCGCTAGAATGAAAGATTATCTTTGAAAGAAAGACTTGTAATAGTAACTCTATGAAGTCCCACACAGATCCATCCGAGTTAACAGTGTTGCTTTTAATCTCCTAGAAAGATTTATTTTGCAAGACCTAATGATTATAAGTCTCCCTTTGCAAAAACAAAGCATAGATAAGCATTGTTATATGTAGACATTAATGTGCTTATGAGTACCACCCTGACCATCTGCTTGACTTACTGACCATTTGTGGGACTGCTTCTCCCTAAGAATATCCACCTATCCCACTAGATCAGATAGGATGGGCATGCTCCAGATCTCACCAGCAATTCAACAGATCTCCTCCTTTCTAGCCTTTTGTAAGCCCTTTAAGACCTAGATTTTTACCAAGATGCTGAGATTGTATGAGTACAATGAAAACAATATGGAGTCGCTGAGCCTGCTATGGGGCATCCCAAGGGAGATAATTATCACTCATAATACTTGCTTATTGTTTGCATTGTTTTATTTATTGGCTCTATGATTGTGAGCTGCCCAGAGTTGTTTTGAGATAGCCATATAAATCTTTTAAGTAAATAAATAATTTAGTTTAATTTTCTGCTTAATTCCCTTTAATTGTTCGTGGGTTCTTGCTCTAGGAATCTGATGTCCTAAAAGGTTCTGTTGTTTACAACACCCTACAACTCTACAACCTAGCTAAGATAAAAGTGAAGTGTTAGAAGCACTGGGTTCTGGCTGAAAGTTCTCTGTGTTTGCAAAACCTTTCCCAAAGACAGACTTACCAAGAAATCAGCAGCAATTGCAAGAGGCTGGCAAGAGGGGAGAAGATGAAGGGGCTGTTAATATGATGATGATGATACCCCAAGGTTCTGAAGGATCTCAGAACAACTGAACTATATCTTTCAAAGATCCTGGAGCACCAGAGAACTTCTAGAGGACTGGAAAAGAGCTGATGTAGTTCCCATCTTCAAAAAAGGAAAAAAAAAAAAAACAGACCCAGGAAACTACAGACTTATCAGCCTGATCTCAAGACCTGGGAAATTCTGGAAAAGATAATCAAGCAACGAATCAGTGAACAGTAGAGGCAAACAAAGTCATAATCAAAAGCCAACATAGCTTTGTCAAAAACAGATCATGCCACAAAAATCTTTTTGCATTCTTTGACAAGGTGACAAAATTAATGGACTAGAGCTGTGGTGGCGAACCTATGGCACGTGTACCACAGGTGGCATGCAGAGCCCTCTCTGTGGGCACGCACGCCATCGCCATCGCCCCAGTCCTAGGCCTTCAGCTGGGTTTTATAAAACCTTTTCGCTTTAGGCCTACGCCACTATGTGCAAAAAAAAAAAAAAGATTCAATCAATCAATCAATTTCAACTTCCCACAGGAAAAAAAGATCTCGCAAAGTTGGAATTGATTGATTGAACTTTTTAGTCCCACCCAGTCTGCTATTACCACTGTGGCCACACCCACCCAATGGGCCATACCCATCCAATGGGCCATGCCCACCCGGCACCCAACAATACATAAGTGGGTTTTGGGTTGCAGTTTGGGCACTCGGCCTCTAAAAGGTTGCAACCATTTGTCTGAAATGTATAGGGTTTCCTGCCTCAGCAGGGGGACTGGAAGACCTCCAAAGTCTCTTCCAACTCTGTTATTCTGGAAGAAGGAGAAGAGGAAGGAAGAAGAGGAAGGAAGAAGAAGAAGAAGAAGAAGAAGAAGAAGAAGAAGAAGAAGAAGAAGAAGAAGAAGAAGAAGAAGAAGAAGAAGAAGAAGAAGAAGAAGAAGAAGAAGAAGAAGAAGAAGAAGAAGAAGAAGAAGAAGAAGAAGAAGAAGAAGAAGAAGAAGAAGAAGAAGAAGAAGAAGAAGACTCAAGTTGTTGACAATTCTTAGCAACCACATACATTTTCTTCTTAAAATCTGGTTTGTCAACTGTTCCAGAAGTGTACTCTTCACTCCTTTATCATTCATTTATCAAATTTATATAAACACACACACACACACACACATAATCATGAAATGGTTTTGTATGTTATTTCCAGGTGGAAAAGCCATGGGAGGTTGGGAAGGAGGAATCCGGGTTCCAGGATTAGTTAGATGGACAGGAGTGCTGCCAGAGGGCAAAGAGATTGCTGTACCAACAAGCTTAATGGACATCTTTTCCACATTAGTTCATTTGGCTGGAGAAACAGTGCCACAAGACAGGTATGGATGCTACAGAACGTAATATCCCCAAAACTACTGAAAAGTACTTAACAGTACAGACCTGCTACGATTCTGATTTATTGACTTTCAGAATATTTCAAACTATTCCTTCCATTCTGCAACTATGCAGATTTTATTTTAAAAGGTGAATGAAGCAATGAGAAAACTTGGGAGGTTTCAAATTAAAGAAGTAAATGCATTTTTCATAAATTTTCAGAAATGAGGTAAGGCAGTTGCGTGATCAAAAGTAATATAAGCAGAATGTTTGTTCTACATTTAGGAACACAAGTCTAGATGGCTGGGTGAATGGATGGGAAGTAGTTTGATATTGTTGAATTGCTATTCTTTCCATGGAATAGCACTTACAGCGTCCAAATAACCCCAGTACACTGGTAGAAAGTTTTACCAACATAGACTTGCCTGTAGCAATATAATAGAAAAAAATAATATTTTGGAGGTGGTTGAGACAAAACTGAGTATTCTTATTTCCATATAAAAGTAAGATATCTTTAAAAGTAAGGTTGACTCTTCATGATTTCATGAACATGTCTATGGAATCTTATTGGCAGTCTTATTGGAATTCTATTAAAAAAACAGTTTAGCTCACAGTTACCATCTAAGAAAGAAAACAATCCAAAAATAGCCTTTTAGTTGATATGATTATTCCTTTTTCCGTTTGTTTAAAGTAAGCAAAAAATAATAATAAGTGCAGTAGTGCATAGAAGAACTGTTCTATCTTCTGCCTTGTTTAATGTAACATAGGAGAATTTAGAAAATGATGTTATTCTGCCACTGTCTTTCCCACTCCTCTTATAAGAACTAATCAATTAAGATAGCATACAAAGTCTGTTCATTTATTTTCAATGAGATTAGTATTTTCTTCTCAGGACATCATCCCAACCAGAAATTCCAGTTCACTTTAATGAAGGCTTCAAAATCACAATATTTTTTAGAAATTGCAGAAGTAAATAGAGAATTATTTCTGGCCGAAGAATTTTGCATATACTCCAGAAAATTCACATGTACAAGAATTTGGAATTTCAAGTGATTTTGACTGTATATATAGATGTCCAGTTACATTCATTCAGTGTATTAACAAATGTTTGGTTGTTGGACTATTAATGCAAGGCTCTGAAGTACTTCAAGTACATCTATTGAAAATCTGTGCTTGTTGTCCTTTTAGGGTAATTGATGGCCGGAATTTGATGCCTTTGCTGCATGGACTTGTTCAGCATTCAGAGCATGAATTTATGTTTCATTACTGTGGAATATACTTACATGCAGTGCGGTGGTACGAGAAGGAGAGTAAGTGTCAAGGGTTCCTCCGAAGAAATCCTAATTTGCCTGTGTTTTAGCTTGCAGGGTTATGTGTTGAAATGACTTCAAAACTGATATGCTTTGCATTTTGATTTGATTTTTCTCAATTGGAACAAAATGTATCCTTCCACTTTTACCCCTTTCCAAATGTAGGGATGTCAAAATAAATTATTTTTAAAAACCCTGCATACAAAAATAGATACAGTACTCTGTACTTCTTGAAAGATGATGGAATGTCAATATTTTGAAGAATTAATGGATCAGTATTTCAGTATCTGTTTCTTTTAGTTTGTATAAAGAACAGTTGTATCTCTGCTTTACAGTTCAATCAAAAACTGTCACTTTGACCTAGGATGTCAAGGTTCCAATTGATGATCCCAATGAAGCAAGCACAGATGAGACATTCCAATCTTTAATGCAAAACTTTATGGAGCACAGCATATCAGCACATATCGATCACACACCTTGGTTCCAATTTACATGAAAGCTGGGACATGACAATTGAAGTAAAGACAAGGATAGAAAAAGCTCGAACAGCATTCTTCAAAATGAAAAAAGGTCTTCTGCAGTCACGACATAAACCTAAGACTGAAAATCAGGCTTGTCAGATGCTATATTTTTTCTATCCTGCTCTATGGAGTAGAGAGTTGGTCTCTGACAGAAGGCCACCTGAAGAGACTAGAAGCATTTGAAATGTGGATTTACAGGCAGTTGTTACGTATAAGCTGGGTTGACAAGATCAGAAATGAGGTAATAAGCCGCCTGGGAAAACCAAGGGAAATCATCAAAACAATTAAAAAATGAAAATTAGAATATTTCGGACATGTGATGCGACACCCAGAAAAATACGGCATACTCCATTTAATCCTCCAGGGAAAAATTGAAGGCAAACGAGGTCCAGGCAGAAGAAGAACATCGTGGCTTCAAAATCTAAGGGACTGGTTTGGACAAAACTCAGCAGCACTTTTTCGTGCGGCTGTTGATAAAAACATGATCGCCAACGTCCAGTAACGGATATGGCACAAGAAGAAGATAACGGCACCAATGAATAGAAAACCAGCTCTAATTAAAATGGTGCCAGAATAGTAAATTAAAAGTGTATAACCTCCCTTCTCCTCTGATAGTGCAGATCACATTCCCCAGTTAAGTGTCAGACATTTGTTATGAGAAAATCTTCAGTTCCCAGCCAAGACCTTCTCTGATGACCTTGATTCTCATGATGGACCGCTCACACCTGTGATGAGCATTCCAATCATCCCCCCTCCTGCCTGGGTCTGTTGGCAAGCTAAGAAACAACAATGGCTGAAACAGAATAAGTTTCTTTGAAGCTTGACAGGCTGGCCCCCTAGAAACTGGAAGGAACCTAAAAAACAATAAGCACACATTACATGAGGGTCCCAGTTTCCGGGGACATGTATTATGGAATTTCTCTATTAAGCGATCCGCCTTAACATTATGGACTTTTGTCTATGTAGCCTCCGACATAGGGTAACCCTTCCACTGGATTAGGTACTACAACTTCCCCTTGTGGATTCTAGAGTGTAGGATGCTTTTAACTTCATAATGTGTCTCCCCCACATACACACACACTATTATCGGACCAGGGCCCTCTTTCTCAACTGGTCTCATCCTAGAACCCTGAAACGGTTTCAGCAGGCTGCAGTGAAACACTGGTTGTACTTTACCCAGTATTCTGGGCAGCCTTAACTCTAGTAATCATATTGATGACTTTTACGATGGTAAATGGTCCTATGTACTTCAGACCTAGCTTTTTGCAAGTTTGCTTCAACTTTAGATATTTTCTACACAAATACATTTTATCTCCCACATGGAAGAGGAGCTTGCTTTTTATCTGCCTGTTTCTTCTGGCTTTCTGTTGCTTTGTTTAAAGCTTTTTTTACATTGCTCCAGACACTCTGGAATGAGTCTACCCACTTGGCTAAAGTGCCCAAGGAGGGAGGCTCCTGAGGGCATTCTGGCATAGATGTGAATTCTAGCCCTGTGGCTATCTTAAAAGGAGTGAAACCTGTGCTACTGTGTATCATGTTATTATATGCCATCTCAGCGAATGGCAGGAGTCCTGCCCAGTTAGACTGCTAGTAATTTACATAACAATGCAGGTACTGTTCCACCATTCTGTGGCCCCATTTGTACTCAGATGAAAAGCTGAACTAAGCCCCCAAGAGGACCCAATCATCCTTTTCCCCCCAGGTTTTTTATTAATTTTACAATATTACATTTACATATTTGAAAAGTAGCATGGCGGCTAAGCACAGTAATTCCATTATATTTGAATATCATCAGTACAAATCTCAAAGTATTACAACAACTAATTCCCTCTTTCCTCCATAATATCTACTGTCATATTCGAACCAATACAATTCTTATTCTATCAATCAAACAAAAAGTACCTTTCTAATATTCATCAATAATCTTCAGTCTATATGTATCTTAATTAATTTGACATTCCACTTTTTAGACAATAACCTAGTAAGTTTTTCTTAACTTTAATTTCTCACTGATATTTAAGTTTAACATTTAATCTTTATCATTTCCAGATTTTAAATGATCCCAATTTCTAAGTGTCATATCTCACATTTGGGGCTAATAATTTTTTTTCTTTTCTTCTACTTCCTTTCTTTCTTCCTTTCCAGAAAGAGAAAAAAATAAATAAAAAATAAAAATAAACCACTAACATTTGTACCACAAAACCATATACAAATTTAATTATTAGATGTATACTTCTAAGTTTTATTTAACCTTTGTTTCAACTCATAACAATATCTTAAATTCAAATCTTAGTTATTCGTAAACATTCAAACTTTTAGCCAATCAGTAACCTGATGGTTAATTTTCCCTTAATATTTTAATTTAACATTTAATATTTATTTTTTCCAATTTTTAATTAAACACAATTCCTTTATCACAATTCCTCATACATTCTAATATTTAAAATACACACCTTGTATATAAATTCTACCATCTATCTTACCAATCTAATAAGATAGTATAATATTCTTATTTCAATATATTTCTAGATTTTATGTGACCAACATTTTCTTTATTTCAAATCATTACAATATCTTGTGTTCAGAATACATATTCTATCCATTTAGATATATTCTATTTTAGATCTCATGTATAGATCAAAACCCCAATTTTTTTCAATCTTATTCTAGCTTTTTTTCTCTGCCAGGTCATTTTTCGTATCTTTGCCTTTAAATCATCAAACAAATCTCCTATTGTTGTGGCTATTGTTTGATGTTCATAAAAGCATCTAGTTGATGTTTTCTTAAGAGGACTAGTTGATTTAGCTGGTAGTCTCTTTGTTTTTCCAGTTCGATGCAATTGTCCCAAAGTATTTATCTTCTATTTCATCTGTTTTTCTTTTTTATCTTCAAATTCCTTCTGGTTTATAAGAAAGTCCTTTCCTTGTTCTCTATTATCAGTTTCTTTTTTGTGTTTTCCATTGTCTGTATTTGTCGAGTATCTAAGTCTTCTGTCATAACATTTAGTTGTTTCACTTTCTCTATAGAATTCTGTATAGATAATTCTTTGGTTGAACTCATAGTTTGAGTTTGCATATCCAGACTTATATGCAAAGTTTGGATCATCGCTTTTAACATACAAAGAATTTATTCCTGTACTTCCTCTGTAAAAGGAATCCATTCCTGTTCTTCCATTGTAGTATATTTAGTATATTAAACTCAAAAAGTCAGAAAGTCCACCAAATGGGGAGCTGAGCTGAGTTTTTTGCAGATGGTGTTTCAAGGTTGCTTTATATCTTATCTATTTTCAAAGCTGTCAACAAGTCTCTTGAAGAATAGCAGGTTACATCTCAGAGTTAGTTGGATCTTTTTAGCCCCCCCCCTCTATTTTAAGAGGAAAAAAACCTCAAATCTTCAATAGTAATTAGAGTGAAAATCAGAGAAAAAAAATAGAGAGTAGAAAGTTACAAATTTTATAATCCACCAATTTTAGGAAATAGAATTCCAATTAGAATCCCAGTATTTTTCCAACGTTTTAAACTCCCAAGTGGTTAATTGCTGCTGTTTCTGGAGGGAGGGCTAGAATCCCCCTTCCCTCACCACAGGGGGGAAAGTACTTTAGCAGCTTATGCAGGTAATTAAATAATTAGGATGTAAGAGAAGCAAACCTCACCCAGTCCTGTCCACGCTGCTTTGAAGTTGCCAGATGGTAATGTGACTTTGGCTGTTAGCAGCCTAGGGACGAGCCATATTTCTATGGCTGGTCCTTTCGTCCACCGGTTTGGAGGGATCGCCTGCTCTGACGGGAGAATTGCTGCTCTTCCGCAATCCAGCGAAAGCCCCTCCTTGCTGGTCACCTCTTCGGGGCAACTTTCAGCCCTTTTCAGGGCCCCCCAGCGATGCAAAACTGAACGGGAGAGAGCAAGTCTCCCAGCCTTCCATAGAGGCCTCGGAAGCCTCCCAATCCTTATAAACTCCCTCCAGAACCTAGCAGTGAACTGGACCCCTTGGTCTGAAATGATGTGCTTGGGCTCTCCCCATGCAGATGATAAATGTGCTGCAGAAACATCTTTGCTAGCTTCTGGGCAAAGGGGAGTCCATGGCACACGGTGAAATGGACTTGCTTGGAGGACAGGTCCATGACAGTCCAAATCACAATGTTCCCCCCACCTTTGGGTAGTTCCACAATGAAGTCCATGGCTATCTCCTCCTAGGGTCTGGTAGGTTGGCAACCTGCTGCAGCAACCCCGGGCTCTTTCCAGGAATTCTCTTGCTGCACACACAGCACAGCTTTTCGCATAGCTTTCAATATCCTTTTTCATCTTTGGCCATCAAAACTGACGGTTAGCTAGATGTGAGTCTTTAGAAATTCAAAGAAGCCAGCTTGCTTGGCATTGTAGCTACACTTTAAAATTTGTAGTCACAAGCTATCTGGGATGTATAGCTTGTCCCCCTTCCATACCAACCCCTCCCTCAGGGTTAGCTGTCTTTAATAAGCCC